TTGTTTATCTATACTTCTCCCACACGCTGCATCCAAAGTAGTCTGCCGAAGCTTCCCTCCACTCCCCTCCTGTGATCCATGGTTTGTCTGGATGTGTAATGCCAGTGAGCAACAGACTTTTAAAATACTTATAATATTTAAAAAATGGCATTAATGCGAGATAAAATAATTGTCAGAATTAATTAATGCATGCTTTAACAGGATAATAACACGTTAACTTGCCCAGCCCTACAAAGAATACAATTCAAGTAGTGTACAATGTGCTCCACAGCCCATCAAACTTGTACATATGGAGTAAAGCAGATTCACCAACATGTCCACTGTGACCCAAGCAAGGAACAATGGAGCACATTCTCAGCTGCTTCCCAAATGGTAAATTTGAAAATTTAGAAATGACATGCTAAAAGACGCCAAATTTATATCATACCATTAATATTCTATCAATCATACAGCACTCATAAGGCAAAAGAAAATAGAGAAACACTAGTTAAACTTAAAATAGATATTAGAAAATAAAACAGGATCACCATGCTACAAAAAGGGAAGAACATCTTAACGCTCCAACTAAAACTAGGATGCTTTATTATAATCTGTGCACAAACGAAGAAACAGTTATGGCCAGGACAAACTATCACTATTATGAATATGGAAATAAAACAAGCTAAATATCAGCTTGGCATCTGATAGATATATTCACGCAATATTAATATTATTAGGGGTGGCTGTGGCACAGAGGCAGAGCGGGTCGTCCCCCAATCGGAAGGCTGTTGGTTCAATCCCCGGCTCCTGGTGCCACACGTCGAAGCATCCTTGAGCAAGATACTGAACCCCAAATTGCTCAGGATGTTGTGCATCGGTGTGTGAATGTGTATGAATGCATTAGATTCTGTTCGATGGGCTTTGCCATCACTGTGTGAATGTATGTGTGAAAGGGTGAATGTGGCACATAGTGTAAAAGCGCTTTGAGTGGTTGGAAGACTAGAAAGGCGCTATACAAGTACAGGTCCATTTACCATCCATTTACCTGCCATCCATTTAACAGAGGATGGCAGGGACCTAGACAACTCAATTTTAGAAGATCTATATAAAACAGGGTAGGGAAACAGGGATGATGAAAATATCAGAGCTGGAAAACTCAGTTTAAGAAGATCTATATAAAACAGGGTATGATGATGAAAATATCAGAGCTAAAAGATTTTTAGATGGAATACCTCTCCACAAATTACAAGCTGATGATGACTTTATGCTGGTATATCAGAGATGGAGGTACTCCAAGCCATTCATTCTTTAAAGAATAAAGCACCTGGGCCAGACGGCTGCCTGATAGAGAACTACGCCGTCTCAGAGAAATTACTGACCCCCCTTACAAATATGATAAGAAGCTTTAAAAAATAAAAAATTACCAGAATCATTGGAGGTGGCAGCAATTCCCGAAACCAGGCAAGGACAAACAGAAATGCAATTCGTACAGGCACCTTAGTCTCCTAAATGCAGATTATAAGGTATTATCCAAACTAATTGTTCGCAATGGAAGATATTACACCGAGCATAATTCACGACAATCAAACAATGTTTGTAAAAAATACGAATAAGGACGACGTACAGCAAATAATCCACATAGTGAAATGCTGCAACAACAAAAAAATGGAAACCAATGCTTATAATAACTATGGATGCTAACAAGGGATTCGACAGAATTTAACCTAGTTTTCTCTTTTGAGAAGCCTATGGACTTTGGAGGGATATCTATTAACTATATTAAAACACTCTTTAATGCAGCCAAAGACAATATTCTAACAAATGACATTCTCACTAACACCTTCTCCTAATCCAGAGGTTGCCGGCAAGGATGTCCAAAATCACCCTTGCTCTTGCCATCAAACTATTAGCCATTGGCATTTGTTCTAACCCCTCCATGGCTGGAATCAAATTTGGTACAAGTGAACACAAAATACGACCTCCTGTTACATATAACAGTGTTCTTTCTGAGGAGGCTCAGGTCATTCAACGTGTACACTCGGCTACTACGGATGTTCTACCAGTCTGTAGTGGCCAGTGTCCTATTCTTTACGGTGGTCTGTTGGGGTGGAGGCATCGGCACAGGGGGTGCCAACAACCTGAGCAAGCTAGTGAGGAAGGCCAGCTCGGTGGTGGGGATGGAACTGGACAGTGTGGAGGCTGTAACTGAGAAGAGGATGAGAGGGAAGCTGAAAGCCATCATGGACAACCCCCCTCATTCTCTCTACACTGAGCTGTGGCAGCTCAGGAGCACTTTTAGCTACAGACTGACCCAGCCACGAGCCTCAAAGCAGTTTGGAGGCTCGTTTGTTCCGTCTGCCATCAGACTCCATAACGCCACAGCACCCAGTACCTCCATCCCCCGCTGACTAAGACTGGTTTAAAACTCCTACCTACAACGCACAAACCTGTTTAATTTCCACATGTACAGTATATTTTTATAGTTTTAGTCAAGTTTAATTTTCTGCTCATATTTTGCACTCCATGTCCTACTTGAACAATGCATAGTGTATATACTTTCATTTATAGTTTTTATATCTTCTATTATATTTTGTAATATTTTTATTTGTGATGATTTTTGTTCTTTGTTTTGCACTATTGCTGCTGTGTCAACCTGAATTTCTCCTAAGGGGGATAAATAAAGGAATATCTTATCTTATCTCACATCTCAATAGTATCTCACACCCCCATTATTGCAATGTCTAAAAGAATACAGTGTAGTTTCAGGGTATAAATTAAATTACACTAAAAGTGAGATACTATTACCAAATGTACAGGATAGAACAATTATTTAAAGAGAATTACACAAAGCTATTATACTATACAAACCAAATCTGACCTCCAAAGATGAATGGATCTCCCACTGACCCTTATTGGCAGAATCAGTGTAATAAAAATGAATATTCTGCCAAAGTTTATTTAGTTATTCCTATCAAAATTCCCAAGAGTTTCTTTAAAGAACCTAACAAATCTATGACACCCTTTTATGAAAAAAGGAAACTAAGGGTTAAACTGATTTATTTACAGTCCCCATATACAAAGGGGGGACTTAATCTACCACATTTTAAGAACTATTATCTTGCTTCACAGTCCCGACCACTTTGGATTTGGCTTCACCCGGAGAACAGTGAGGTGAGATGGCTCTCAATAGAAGAGAGATGAGTAGAGATGAGGACTACACCTTTAAATGTAGTCCATTGTATACGTACAAAAAATGTTTATCCACACTATTTATCCACAAATCTATAATAAACTCTATAATACTGAAGACATTTTATGCTTGGCAAGAATCACTCACTTTTAGATCTAAATGTCTAATTTCTCAAGAAGACTAATTTATGGGGCAACCCTAATCTTTAAAACAACATTGCTGACACAATATTACAATGATCGAAGGACAAAGAAATTCACGCAGTTGAGGATTTATACGTAAATGATACATTTGCCAGATTATTCGACCAGATTGTATCTGAGTGAGGGAATCCTTGTCTGTTCGGGAGATTGGAATACAATTTTGAACCACCAATTAGACACAACAAGCAAGAGCAGACATGGATCCCCAAAATAAAAAAAAACTAAATATTCTGATAAGAGAGGCAGAGTTATTTTATGTGTGGAGAAGTGTTCATACAAGGGATATGGAATTCACCCACTATTCAGCTACACACAAAGTACACTCTAGGTTGGACTTTTTCCTGATGAATACTATAGATAGACACAGGGTACATGAGTGCACAATCGGAACAGCAGATCTGTCTGATCACAGCATTGTTTATCTAAATATACATTTTAACAGCAAGCCAAGGAATGGAGGCTGAATATTGGAATTTTAAACAATAAATCCACAGTGGAAGAAAATAAAAAAGAAATTGGTGAATGTATAATGATAATAAGGATGAACAGGTCGACCCAACTACTATTTGGGACACGGTCAAAGCAGTTATGAGAGGGAAGCTAATTTCAAGAACAGCTCATTCTAAGGAAAATCCGGAGATCAAAATATGATCATTTAGAGAAGGAATTGGAAAAACTAGAGAAACAATAACCCAAGAATGACAATAAGGACACAATAGGGAATCAGATTAAAAATATAAGGAAACAAATAGAAAACTTAATTAACGATGAAATAGAATCAATAGGCTCAGAGCAAAATAGATATCTGACCGCCCCTATTACAAAAGACGAATTGGTTAAAGCCATAGGTAGACTGGCAACTAATAAAAGTCCTGGGAGCAACGGCTATCCAAACAAATGGTACAAAAAATTCAAAGAAGTCCTTGCCCCGGTACTATTGGAATCATTTAATTGGACACTTAAGAAGGCTATAGTCCCACCATCCTGGAGAGATGCTGTGATTTCTGTCATCCCCAAAGGGGGGGAAAATAAAGAATACTGCGAGTAATATCGCCCAATATCGATTCTGAATGTAGATTATAAACTGTTCACATCCATTATCACTAAAACAGTGTTTTCTGCCTGACCTGATACATGAAGACCAGACTTTGTAAAAAGGACGCCAAACACAAGACAACATCAGGCGCACCCTTCATATTATAGACCATGTCAATAAACACCATATAAGCGCTGCCCTGATCAGCTTAAATGCTTAAAAGGCGTTTGATAGGGTCAGCTGGGATTTTTTATATAAAGTACTAGAGAGGATGGGATTCAATGATAAATTCATTAAAGGGGACATATTATGCAAAACCAACTTTTTAATCATTTGATTATGTACATTTGGGACTCTGGAGGGCCTATCAGCAGGCAAAGTGTGAAAAAAGATGACTCAGTCATGTTTTTGTGAGCTGCCTCAGTTAAACACAGGAGATAAAACACGCAATGTAGACTTCGCACCAACTGTGATGTCACAGTTGTGTTTGCGACCTTTCACCGCGAATGTTGCCACCCTTCCAGGAAGTTAAAGTCCTTGTTGACTATCGGAGCTCCGCCATTTTCACTATAAAAGAGCAAGTTAGCAGAGAACAAGCAAGTGAGCCAGCAGCCAGCAGCCAGAAGCCTGCCAGCCTAATGTCTGGGCAAAGGCTTCAGCAGGCAAACTGTTCAGTCATTGGCAGCACAGCCCAACACAATGAGCCACTGGATTTATTTTTGTTTTTGACGGCAATGTCCAGCGAAAAACCGGAACGTGTCTGAACCACTTCGTGTCGGACTGTTTTCACAACCTCAGTCAGTACAACACTGGCCTGGCTGAAATACTGTTCCTGAAAGAGGGATTCATACCAACTGTCTGTGGAGAGATGGCAGAGGAAGTAACTAAGTATTTTTAAGAATTTATGCTTTGTTTTTTATTGTTCGTGTAACGCTAGCACATGCTAATAGTTGTTAGCTGCAGGAGCTTCAGTGATGCTAACGTAGTTATTGTTTGTTAAATGTGTGCAAGATGAACATGAAACTTATAAAGTGAGGTTAATTTATTAAGCCAGCTGGTGCAGATGTCTCCATATTCTCCCCTGCTGATATTGTTATAGAGATTCACACGAAGTTTATGCCGTGAATTACCAAGCTTCGTGCTGGGGGGGGCTCCCTAACTCCCTAACTGTTGTGGGTTTTGTGACCGGGCTAAATTGGCTTTATGTTCGTCTGTATTTTGTTAAACGTGCTCAGTCAGTAATATGTTTGTGTCGCTGTTAGAGCAGAAAACCTCCGAGCTAACAAACTGTAGCGCTCATCAGCTGTTAGCTCGTTGAGCTGCATAGAACAGGGAAGATAACGTTAGATATGTTTAATTGTCTTTAACCTGGTAACAGTTACATATCTGCTGGGTAGCTAAGTATCTGTTCACCGTGTGGATCAATACAGCTGTGAACAGAGGAAGACACCGTACTTGTACCATGTATAAATTCAGCAGCAGAGGTCATTTGTTTGGTAAGATTGTAGCTTTGATTAGCACACAGCAGCTCTGTGATACTATAGTTACTGAGCCTGTCGGACTTTATGTTGTAATACGAGGGACAGTGTGATCGTTAAGCCTGGTGGTTGTTTTTCATGTTGCTTTTTGTGTAGTCCCTGTCCTGAACTCTCTACGTACGTGCTATTGTTACTTCACTTATTATACTATATATTACAGTGGGTACGGAAAGTATTCAGACCCCTTTTAAAATTTTCACTCTTTGTTTCATTGCAGCCATTTGCTAAAATCAAAAAAGTTCATTTTATTTCTCATTAATGTACACTCAGCACCCCATCTTGACAGAAAAAAACAGAAATGTAGAAATTTTTGCAAATTTATTAAAAAAGAAAAACTGAAATATCACATGGTCATAAGTATTCAGACCCTTTGCTCAGTATTGAGTAGAAGCACCCTTTTGAGCTACTACAGCCAAGAGTCTTCTTGGGAATGATGCAACAAGTTTTTCACACCTGGATTTGGGGATCCTCTGCCATTCTTCCTTGCAGATCCTCTCCAGTTCTGTCAGGTTGGATGGTGAACGTTGGTGGACAGCCATTTTCAGATCTCTCCAGAGATGGTCAATTGGGTTTAGGTCAGGGCTCTGGCTGGGCCAGTCAAGAATGGTCACAGAGTTGTTCCGAAGCCACTCCTTTGTTATTTTAGCTGTGTGCTTAGGGTTATTGTCTTGTTGGAAGGTGAACCTTTGGCCCAGTCTGAGGTCCTGAGGACTCTGGAAGAGGTTTTCTTCCAGGATATCTCTGTACTTGGCCACATTCATCTTTCCTTCAATTGCAACCAGTCGTCCTGTCCCTGCAGCTGAAAAACATCCCCATAGCCTGATGCTGCCACCACCATGTTTCACTGTTGGGATTGTATTGGGCAGGTGATGAGCAGTGCCTGGTTTTCTCCACACATACCGCTTAGAATTAACGCCAAAAAGTTCAATCTTGGTCTCATCAGACCAGATAATCTTATTTCTCATAGTCTGGGAGTCCTTCATGTGTTTTTTGGCAAACTCTATGCGGGCTTTCATATGTCTTGCACTGAGGAGAGGCTTCCGTCGGGCCACTCTGCCATAAAGCCCCGACTGGTGCAGGGCTGCAGTGATAGTTGACTTTGTGGAACTTTCTCCCATCTCCCTACTGCATCTCTGGAGCTCAGCCACAGTGATCTTTGGGTTCTTCTTTACCTCTCTCACCAAGGCTCTTCTCACACGATTGCTCAGTTTGGCTGGACGGCCAGGTCTAGGAAGAGTTCTGGTCGTCCCAAACTTCTTCCATTTAAGGATTATGGAGGCCACTGTGCTCTTAGGAACCTTGAGTGCTGCAGAAATCCTTTTGTAACCTTGGCCAGATCTGTGCCTTGCCACAATTCTGTCTCTGAGCTCCTTGGGCAGTTCCTTCGACCTCATGATTCTCATTTGCTCTGACATGCACTGTGAGCTGTAAGGTCTTATATAGACAGGTGTGTGCCTTTTCTTATCAAGTCCAATCAGTTTAATTAAACACAGCTAGACTCCAATGAAGGCGCAGAACCATCTCAAGGAGGATCAGAAGAAATGGACAGCATGTGAGTTAAATATGAGTGTCACAGCAAAGGGTCTGAATACTTATGACCATGTGATATTTCAGTTTTTCTTTTTTAATAAATTTGCAAAAATTTCTACATTTCTGTTTTTTTCTGTCAAGATGGGGTGCTGAGTGTACATTAATGAGAAATAAAATGAACTTTTTTGATTTTAGCAAATGGCTGCAATGAAACAAAGAGTGAAAATTTTAAAGGGGTCTGAATACTTTCCGTACCCACTGTATATGCGGTCTTACAAGTAACACTGAATCTGCCATGTCTTACAGGTGACCTGATGAAGCTCAGGTGTTCCTGAACCCATCAGACAGAGACAGCTGCAGCATCAGGACAGTCTGGGTATCCAAAGGAAGACGCATCAAGATGAACACTGGCTGCAGAGCTCCATTACTAGATCACACTTCAGTATACTAGAAACCTAAGATACCTTGATGAAGGACATGATCTGCACAGTTTACATAAAAGTTCTAGCTTTGTTACTTGCAACGTGTGTAACTGGAATATGAATGAAACATAAATGTTTATAAAGTGTTTTACTTTTAAGAAGTCATTTTTAAATTCAGTAATAAGTGTGGTTTTATATAAATAACATGTTATTTCACAGATGTTTTATAAAGATGTCCTGCATGTACAAGAGTTGAAAACCTGGTTTGTGTAACATCTATCAATATGAAAATGTGAAATTTAAACCTGTAGTAAATGACTAAGCAACACAATACACGTGGCGAATAATTTAACAAATTCACGCACATATTTCTAACCAGCCAGCATTACTGGTCTATACAGGAGCAGCCGCGTCAGACGGTCCGACTTAAATGACACTGATTGATGCTTTTGACCTCAGATGTAGAATGTGTAGTCTAAAGAGAAACGCAAATTTCAGCACCGCTGATCTGTATAATCAGACCAAAAGACATGTCCTGTAATTTTAATTATTCGCCACGTGTGTTTGTTGACATTAGAACAGCTGTAGCGAGAACGGGAGCCGGGAGGAGTAGCGGCAGCCCGCTACACAGTGGAAACTGGCACCGGGTTCAGTGGTAGTTTAGTAATCCACGGTAGTACTGTTGTGTAGGAACCGTGAAGTTTTGGCACCGCGAGTACCATGCAACACTAAATGTTAAAATCACAGCCCGACGTTGTATACGCCTCCCTGTAATTCACTCACTCATTAGGCTACTCTGCTCAGGCCGTGACTAGCAGAGACAACCATGTTGCTGCTAATCAGTGTGCTTGCAGCAGCAGGGCATTATAATTCATTACTTGTGTTGTTGTTGTTGTTGTGAATGTACGGTAGGCCGTAGCCAATGATATATAGCGCAATTCATTACTTATGGGAAACGTTTCAAGAGCAACAGGCTTACCTCCAAGCAGCACAGCACAGGGAGAAGTGGGTGTAATGCGGAAGACATAGCCAGGTCAAACAAACCAATAGAAACTCTTCTCTCATCCACCAGCGTATGCCCCGCCCATCAAGTGCAGTTGAATTAGCAAACAAAACTTTATAACTCGCAAGCAAAGAGGACTGATTTATAAGCAAAATGGTTGTATGTTTTTACTTACAAACATTAGTTTTGTTTGAAGTTAAAGAAATATGTTCTCTTTTTTTGATTGCCACTTACTCTTTTTTGGTTTCAAATCTCTTTTTTGGTTTCAAATCTATTCTATTTGATTGAATAATAAAGGAACAAAATTCTCTCTATATATAAGCAAACTCCTACAAGAATTGTACTGTACAAAGGTTTACTGAAGCAACAGGGAAGAAATACAGTGTATATAAAAGTGAAATGGGAAAAATAATTTAACATCGAGTTGTCTGGAAGTGATTGGCAGTCCATATTTAAGACCCAACATACATCAACAAGCTCTAAAAGATGGAGGGAGTTTGGTTGGAGAAATTTAACTCTCATATATTCTGGTCATGTATGAAAATACATCATTCAGTCATTTTGGGAGGGGGTTCTGAGAGCCATGGGTGAAATCTTTGGATATATCACTTGCGGCTAAGAAGGCCATTACAAGAAGTTGGCTGACCCACCTGGACTGACCCACCTGGACTGAGCCACTGGCTGGACATTGTAGAAGAAATTTGATCAATGGAACAAATGACCTATAGTCTACGAATTAAAACGGAGCTATATACTGTAAGATGGACAAAATGGCACCTGTATGTGACAAAGTAGTGGTTACCGCCCTTGTGTTTTTGTATTTTTGTACCGGTTTTTATTGATTGATTGAAAAATAAAGTAAAAAAAAAAAAAAAGAATGATACATGTGCCACCTTCCAACAACAAAAATTCAACCTTCTTTTTTTTGTATTAGTTTACAGACAGGAAAGGGGGGCAGAGAGAGGGATTGACATGCAGCAAAGTGCCGCAGGTCGGATTGGAACCCTGGGCCGCTGCAGCAAGGACTCAGCCTCAGTACATGGGATGCCAGCTCTACCAACTAAGCTAACCAGGCACCGATAAAATTCAACCTTCTTAAATAGAATTTTTTCAAATTCCTTCAAATTAGACAATGGGTTAAAGAAAACTTTGAAGACATTTCCCCAGATATTCCAAAGGAAACTGCTTTTGAAACTTAGCTGTACGGGGCTTCTGGTGACGTCATGGTAGGAACAACAGCCTGATCCTCCGGCTGTGGGAAGAAACCCTCAAAAAACTAGTGAAATCAGTATTTAAATTTAATTAGTCACCTCATGCTAAGGCCAGAATGTCAACTTTAAGAAAAGATACAGAAAAGAAAAGCAAAGCGACTAAAAAATACGAGAAACAAGACCAAACAGGCACCGCTTCACCTACATGTGATACTGGCGCTGATGAAAAAATGGCTGCGAAGCTTGCTGAACTTCGTGACCTACGGCGAGAACATTCAGAGGCCTCTAAAGATACGAAGGCCACCTTATCGAGGGTCGAATCTACCCTCGAAGATGTGCTACAACGTACGACAAGACTGGAACAACAAGTAACAAATGTGGAACAGAGAGTGAGTGACACGGAAGATAAAGCACTCCGACATGAGAGAGCAATCCGCTATTTACTTCAAAGGGAAGCTAAACTGTCTGCTAAGTGTGAAGACCTCGAGTCCAGGGCAAGACAGAATAATTTGCGCATATATGGTGTGACAGAGGGAGAGGAAACGAACGATATGATTAAGTTCATATCCAACTTGATGCGCACTTCACTTGAACTACCGAAGGATTTGGACTTGTGCCTGGAGAGAGCTCACCGCTCGCTGACCATGAAACCGAAGGAACCTGACCCCCGAGATCCATCATAGTCCGGTTCTCCGACTCCGAGTCAGGGAAACGATACTTCAGCACGCCTGGAAAAAACAGGGGGGTGACACATCAAGGACAGAAGACCTTCTTCGACCAGGATTACACATCGGATGTACAGAAGAAACTTAAACAGGTACGGGAGGTGATAAAACAGCTTAAAGAAAAGAAAATGGAAGCCCAATCACCGTTCCCTGCCCCCCTTTCGGAGGCGGCCCCCACACTCATGAAGATGGGAATTAATGTCAAGGTGGATGAACGGGATGATCTCCAGAGCAGCAGGAGCTGCTGCACAACCCCCTGGTCACAGCATTGGCATCAAACAGAGCGGGACCTTTACTGATGACCAACGCGGACTGGCAGACTTTTGTTCGAGGTGAAGATTGAATAGCAAACAACATTGAGAGGTAAATAGACTACTGCTAAATAGCGCTGCCAATAGACCAGACTTACAGGTTTCCTTGCTTGGTGCTTGGTCCTATTTGGCTGGTTTACTTAAAAAGAAAGGGGAAAAAAAAACACTGAAAAATAACAGGGTTTCTCCTTCAGAGGATGATTTTTTTTATTTCACTCACAGGCGACTCTGTAAATAGTCGCAGTAGCACTAAGTGTTTTACCCCGGAGAGATTTTAGTCACAACTCTCCGTCTTTACAGAAGCTGGTTAGCAGGATGTTCGTGCAACCAGCTGGGTTTTTGGAAGTTAGTTCTCATTTGTTTGTATATATAAGTTCTTTCTGTTCATCCGTTCAATGCTTGTTCATATCATAGTAACAGATGTGCAGTCATATTTTATGTCTCAGGTACTTAACAGGTGCATTATGCTGAAACTGAGGTCTGGGTGGAAAATAGTAATTGAGGATAGGATGAACACTTTTGCTATACATTCATGAACAATTTAACCATAATTAAGTATAATGTCCATGGACTGAATCATCCTATTAAAAGGGAAAAAACTATAGTCAGTTCAAAAAAATTGCATTGTTCAATTGCCTTATTACAGGAAACCCATTTACCAGAAGGAGAACATAAAAATTTAAAAAGGGAATGGGTGGGTCAAGTATTCAATTCATTGTTTGGTAAAAAAAAAATAAAAAAAGGGGGAGTTGCAATCATAATTAACAGGACATAAGCCTTCTCCTCTGAAAAAGTTATTCAGGATAAACTAAGGAGGTTTATTATGGTTGTAGGTACAATAGGAGAGGTGGAGATGTCTATTTTGAACCTGTATGCCCCAAATGAACCAGACCAGAATTTCTTTAAGGAAATTGCAAATGTTATTGCGGACAATGCTAAGGGCATCATGATAGTCAGGGGAGATTTCAATGCTGTACAGGATGGAAGGCTAGATAGAATGCCAGCAGAGGGAGGACCCCAAACTATAAAAACCAAAACACTTATTAGTATGATTTTAGAATTAGGACTTATTGACCCTTGGAGATCTAGAAACCCTTCAGGAAAAGACTATTTTTTTCTCTAATGTGCATAACAGTTATTCCAGAATTGATTTCTTCTGTTTATCTCAACAGCATATGTATAAAGTAACAGATTGCCATATAGAACCAATAACTGAGTGATCATGCTCCTGTTACTTTAAATATAGATTTAAACAAAGAAAATTTCTTCAGATACTGGAGACTTATTGACTAATACCGCGGCTACACAGGATTTAAAACAAAATTTAAAAGAATATTTCGAGACAAATGATAATGGAGAGGTGACCCCATCAATTTTATGGGGGGGAGCTAAAGCACTTTTAAGGGGGGAATGATGATCAAATTGCATCTAGATTAAAGAAAATACGACTGGAAGAACAAACTAAACTAGATGAAGAGTTGAGCTATTTGTGACTGTACGTCAAACATCGTAAAACAGTACTCATAACTTCAGTGTGCAATGTCCAATCTCCAATAAACTTCATATATTCTGTAACAGTCTCGCCCTGAACACGTCCTCATAACTTCAGTGTACGTGGTCAAATGAAAGTCTCAATGAAACGTCACGTGTTTGATAAGAATCCTGCCCCGAACACGTCTACATGACAATATTCAAACACAGTGATAGCGCCACCTACTGGCAACAGGAAGTAAGCGCTGCGTGGCGATTTTGAGCTGAGTTACGTGAAATGACCGTGCCAGTGACGACTTGTCGAATTCAGCCGATTCACCATAAAACAGCACTCATAACTTCAGTGTGCAATGTCAAATCTCCAATAAACTTCATATATTCTCTAACAGTCTCGCCCTGAACACGTCCTCATAACTTCAGCGTATGTGGTCCAATCTCAATGAAACTTCACGTGTGTTATAACAGTCCCGCCATAACTTGTCTACATGACAATATTAAGACATAGTGATAGCGCCACCTACTGGCAACAGGAAGTAAGCCCTGCGTGGCAATTTTGAGCTGATTTACGTGAAATTTCATCTTTTGGTCCGCACGTTTAACGATGACACGTGACGCGCCCGCAGCACGCCCCGAGTTGCGTGGAGTGCGAGGTCCCGCCCAATGTTGCTTGCAGCTTTAATTATATTTGTCTTTATTAATTGAACTGAATTGAAAATTGAATTACAGTTTTCACTCTGACCTTGTAAAATGAGAGAAAGAGCAACAGTAAAGAGCAACAGTAATGAGCAGCTCAGACATAAATACAATCTTCCAGCCCATGATTTTTCTTTAAATATCTCCAACTGAGACACTATTTACAGAAACACAAAGAATGGGACAAACTATGCACTTTATCCTCTAATATAGAGGGTTTATTTTAACAATCAAAGGGACTATTAAAAAGAAGATACTACAAGAAGAACTAACAGATAACAGTTTAGATATGAAAGAAAAATGGAACTGGAAATTAACACCACAATTCCAGATAACAGCTGGGAATTGTCATGCAGAGAGGGCCACAAAATAACAAATAGCCCTATCTGGAAGGAATTTGAATGCAAAACTAAGATGAGGTTTTTCAGGACTCCTGTCGTTACGTCAAGATTTGTGGATACCTCAAATCAGTGCTGGAGGCGCTGTGGCCTGGTGGGAGACCACACACATATATTCTGGGATTGTCCGAAACTGTTATGATATTGGCTAAACATACAAATTTAAATACATTTTTTTTAAAATGTAGATCTTTCCTTAGAACCATCTTGTTTTGTGTTAGGAATATTGCCAGAAGATCTAGAAAGCAATAATCAGAGAGTATTGCTGAGAGTCCTTCTTCTAATTGCTAAGAAGATGATTACAATCTCCTGGCTGAGGCCGCAGCCCCCCACAGTAGCACAATGGCGAGAGATGGTTAAGGATGTTTACTACATGGAAAATATAACTG